TTTTTTTTTTAATTCCCTGACAGTGGAGAGAGGTAACGATTAAGGCAATTTCTCCTTCAAGAGTGTTCAAAAATGGCCCTAGCTGGTGTAGCTCAGTGGATCGAGCTCGGGCTACGAACCAAAGGGTCGCCAGTTTGATTCCCAGTCGGGGCACATGCCTGGGTTGCAGGCCAAGTCCCCAGTATGGGATGCGTGAGAGGCAACCACACATTGATATTTCTCTCCTTCTCTAAAAATGCATAAATAAAATCTTTTTTTAAAAACTTCTGCAAATTTGAAAAAAAAATAGAGTGTTCAAAAATGGTTCAATGAACAAGGCAGCCTTGGAGCCCAATAAACTTGGGTGTACATCCTGCTCCAGCACTTGTTTGCAGTTTAACTTCTAGCAAGTTATCTCCCTCCTCTAGGTCTCTGTTTCTTTATCTGCGGGATGGGACAATAATGTTGAACCCCAATGATTCTCACTCTGTTGGACCATGGCAGCTATAGATCATTGGAATTTTGTAAACAGTGAGTTGCTATGAGGACCAAATGCCTGAAAAGCCCTAGAATGGTGCCTGGCACTGAACAGAACATCAGCATTCAGAACATTGTCCTTTTCCCCTTTTCCTTGTGCACTGAACCCCCTCTTCCCTAATACCATCTGCCCATTTCCATGCCAGACCTCCAATCCTATTCTGTACAGGTATGCATACATAAAAATATGCCATTTTTATACGCTTATTTATTTATTTATTATAGATTGCATTTATTTATTTTTAGAGAGAGGGGAAGGGAAGGAGAAAGGGAGGGAGGGTTCACACACCCCCACTTGGGGACCCGGCAGCACCCCAGGCCTATGCCCTGTTTGGGAGCAAACCGGCAACCTTCTAGTTCGCAGGCTAGCACTCAATCCGCCGAGCCACACCAGCCAGGGCTGAAAGCATGCAATTTTAATATATAAACATAGATTATGTAAACGTTCACTCGTTTGTTCAACACACAGTTATTGAGAATCCACTTGTGCTAGCGCTGCCATAAACCAGTTAGACAGGTTCCTGTTCTCCTGGAGCTCACTTTCCAGTAGGGGAGGGTTCCCGGTGATGGGAAAAGGAGGCACCATGTGGGGGAGGAGCACCACGTGGACTGGGCAGGTGAGGGAAGCTTCTCCGAAAAGGCGGCCTGTGAGGCCCAGAGGATGAAGAGAAGCCAGCCCCAAACCAGGCTGGGGAAGAGCACCCCAGGCAGAGGACACAGCCAGCGGGAAGCCCCGGGGCAGGAAGAGTGTGTTGTGTTTGAGGGACAGAAAGCATCCAGTGCCAGGAGGGAGGGGTGAGAGGGAATGGGGGGGGGCCCTGCTGGCCTCTGTGAGGGGTTGGGATTGTAACGTGACACTCTGGAGATGCTGAGAAAGGGATGGCGATCTGATTTATATTTTAAAAGCACGGCTCTGGCTGCTGTGTCCCAAGTGGATTGCCAGGAGCCAGGATGGAAGCAAGTCTCTGGCTGCCACAGCCACGTCCTACCAGACATGTGGACTCCCAGAGCTAGAAAGCCACTGGAGCCTGGGGAAGGCTCCGCGTCCCCACCTGCACAGTGCAGTCACCTGGGGACACTGTTAGCAAAGTTCCAAGGATCCACAGCCACCACCAAAGGCCAAGAGAATCAGAATCTCATAGATGAGGGCCAGGCTAATGGGATTTTTTTAACAAAACTTCCTGGGACATTTTATATGCATTCGGAACTGAGAATCACTGTGTGTGGGTGAACGCTCCAGGACCCAAGCTCTGGCTGCTGCCTGAGACACCTTTCCGGGGTCCAACATGTGGGGGCGACATTCCTCGCAAGTCCCCCCAGCCACCACGGATCAGAGTAATCATGACTGAGACACGGTGTGATCTGCTTGGGGAGGAGAAGTGGCCATTTTCTCAGAGGAAAAAGGCCATGAGCAGTGGCCAGTTTATCAGGGAAAAAAGGCGTTGAGCTCCCTCCCCTAGGGACTTTTATTGGGTTGTAATACACAGGAATACAGGACTACAAGGATCATACAGTAGATAGCATTTCAAAGAAATCTGAGGGCTTAGTATGAGTCAGTGTCTGTCAGGAAGAGTTTTAGGGTTTCCTGCTTGAACCCTTAACATATGAATGAAAGCTCTCTTAGCAGAGCAGATTTCACAGGTTTATCAGGAAGTCTTTGTGATGTCAGATTGTTCCCCAGGACATGCTATAGCAAGGCAAGGAGCTGTACCTCTCCCCAACAGGTATTCAGGCTTAAGGGGATTAGAGTGCTTCTCCCAGAGAACATGGGGACTCGGGCTATGTCAAAGCTGGGGGGCGAGAGTCCATTGCTCTTTGTTGCAGCATCCCCTCACCCAGTCCTTCCATGAAGGCCTCCCGCATGATCGATTCTGGCTTAGGTCGCTCCCTGCTGTGAGGGGTCTTACCCGTCATTGACTTCCAACCAAGCTTTGGGAGCAGGGAGAGGAAACTGAGGCAGCGTTTGCTACCAGAGACAAGCTTTGTTTCCTGCGGCTCGCATTCCAAAGGTCGTCCCTCGCCCTTAGCCACAAAGGGTGGAGCTACAATTCCTAGAACCAGGCAGAGCGGTCTACAACACCGACATCCTGTTACAACTTTCTTTTTCAGAGTGAGCAGAAATGAGCCACTTGGGTAGCTTCCCTGCATCCTCCGTGTAGTGGGGCCAACCAGCAACTCTCTCTTTTCTACTGAAGTCACCCCTCCCTTCTCCCCCATTGACACACCCAAGGTAAATCTCAGCAAAAGGGATGAAGAAACCCAGAAACAGGAAACCTAGACAGAAAAAGAATTGTCCGGCCCCTGGGAATTCCCCCATCTTCCCGCAGGGTGCCTCCTAAAATGCTCTTGCACACAGGGGTGCTGCGTGTGCGTCTCAGGACCCGCACAAAGTCGCCAGGAGGTGATCTGGTGACTCCTCTCCCACCCAGTCCACATGGAGAATTCGAGAACTGGAAAAAACTTTAGCATCAGTAGTTTCATTCTAATTTAACCATGGGTTGGTAGGGGAGGGAGCCAGGCACTAAATATAATCAGTCTTGTATTTCTAAGGCATTCCTAGAAGCTTGAGAGTGGGGAAGAGAACTTGACACCCACATGCTGGCAGGCTGTATTCTGTAGTTCGCAGTCCTCACAGAAAGCTCCATGGAACAGATGCTGTTATTCTCATTTCGAATTTAGGCAACTGAGGTTCAAAGAGGTAAAGTAACTTCACAAAGGTCCGCCAAGGCTCCATCCGCACTGGTGCTGTGTCCTCTTAGTGTCCTTTTCTAGAGGCTTCCTTCAGTGGAGGGATGGTCAGCATCTCTCTCCCCATGTCACCCCATTTGAGATCAGGTAGGTACCTGAGCCAGCTCCCTAATTTTTGCTACTCCTTGCACATAACTCTGTCCCCACAATCCCCACCAAATGCTCTCCCCCAGTGCCCAGCCCCTCTGGCCCTTCTCTCCTATTCCTCCCCCATGTTTTCTACGAACCCAAGCCAGAGCACGAGGCAGCCCTAATATATTAAGAAGAACCAAATATGGAGGTTTAAAGGCTGTCCTTTTTACTTGCACAGTTTGATAAAAGGGTGGAGGGAGGGAACTGTTTTCGCCCCAGGGGTTTTACCGGTCTGTGAGGGTTTTGGGTCCACGTGATTTTTGCATGCTTACTCCTCAACAGTGAGGATTTTCCCAGCTGCTCCAGGCCTTCAGCGATCTTTCCTTTGTGGGCTGTGCCTACAGAGTTAGCACTTAGCTAGGAAATCAACGCATCCTATAACATGGATGTGTTATGACTAACCATGACCACCACCCCACATCTGTGTTCCTCAACATGCTAACTGGTGGGCTGACCCGCTCATATGCAGGGCCACTCAATTTATACCTGAAAGGTGGCACCACAACTACTCCTAGACCCAAAAAGGTCAGGGAATAGAGAAAGAAACCATTCGTTACAGCATTTTGCTTTCAAGACAGAAATCAGTCCCTGGAGGAGCTGCTCCTGTAGCCGAATTCCTCTTCCATCTGAACCAGCCTCCTCCAGCTCCTGACAGATCCTGCCTCCCTTCCCAGCCCCCTCCCCCGATAACTCAGGTGCTTAATCAGGCTTGGCAGATCTCGGTTAATTCTTACAACAAGCTAGGCAGCGTTATTCCTATTTTACAGCTAATGAAACTCAGGATCAGAAAGGGTAACTTGTTCCAAGGTACAGAGAGCTAGTGAAGGGCAGGTTGCCGGCCACAAGTCTCAGGGCCTCTGCTCCTCATGTCTGTACTTCCTCTCGCTCAAGTTCAAGGCTCCTCACGGTGGAGGCCAGGTTTGGGATCCCAAAGGTCTTAGCCTGTAGCAAAGGCACAGTGAGTGTTTGCTCAGGGAATTGCCAGAGGAAGTTTACTCCGATTGCCTATTGTGTGAGAAGCAGTCCGGGGCAAAGAGGAAGTGTTCGTGCAGTGATAAGGCCTGTGCGCCCGTTGGTGGTCCGATGCCCTGGGCAGGGGCCCACATGAAGTGGGAGGGTGGACTGCCGAAAGGCTCAGGGTGAGAGGCCCCTCCCCGACAGGGGCTGAGGGAAGGGTCAGGGGGGGATGGGAGCAGCACCTAAGGCCTGACTGGTTGCTGGCCTCCAGGCCTCCAAGCGTCCTCCCCTGAAAGAGCCCCAGACCTGAAGGAAGAGGAAGGGAGGCCCTCAGTGGACACGAGGGCCGCCTGGGCGCTGTGGGAGAAGCCCCAAGTGGGAGACCGGGATTTGGGTTTGGGGGACCCTGGGGACGGACGTAGGATTTGAAGGAGCTCCCCAGGAAGACGCAGGAGAAGCGTGGTGTGATTCAGTACCTCTGAAAAGAAGACATCTTTTTGACGCGTCCCCACACCAAGAAGGCAAAGCACGGGAAAGCATGGTGTGAAAGGTTCAGAAAAGATGGAACTTGATGTGGGAAAGCTGTGTGAGGGGACGTTTGGGATGCTGGTTCAGAGAGATGGCAGTGTTGTAGACGATCGGCGGGTAAATACACACTCTTGGAGCCCGGAACCGAATTGATAAAAATTTTAATGGCCAAAGATTTTTCCTGCACAGGGGCGAACTTCCCCAACGGTGACCGGAGTCACGTAGCTACTCAGAGCTACAAAATGGAAGTCGCGCCTGGCTTACAGACTACTGGGTATTTATATTTTCTAGCAAGCAAGCAAAGGCATACAGAAGCAGAGGTGGCGGTTAGCTATTGGCTTATTTAAAAACGGCGAGGGTCCCTGATTGGTGGGTGCTGCTGCTGGCGGGCACTTTCTGGCGGCCGGGTTAGTTACCTTATTTGGCTAGAATTTTAAACCCAATTGTTCCCGGATGTTTGTTCATTACCCTGTTCCAGGAACTGCAGATTTAGGGTTGGGTAATGCCCTAGCTGTAATTTTCCTAGCTGGGTATAACAGCAGGGCCTGACAACGGTGCGTGGGATGCCGTCGGGGGTGGCAGTGGGAGTGTGGGATGGCAGCGACAGCGGGAACCGAGCCCATAGTTCACGTCCCCACTTCACCATGCACGGGCTGAGGGACTTTGGGTTAGCTACTTAACCTGTTTGACCCTCAGTGTCCTTATGATAGGGGACTTAAGAGTTGGAGAATTTTAGTTTACGTAATAGCTAATAAGCTTAGTAATTGATGCACGTAAAAGCTTTTGTTCCAGGAACTGAAGGTGTGACCCACCCTGACTCCAGGAGACCATTAGCTATTCCACCTTTGAGCCTCAGGAGGACTGCAAGCAATTCAAGATGGTATCTGAGCCATTGTGCTCCAGGTGAGGTGACCACCGCCCAGGACATAGCTAAAGACCACCGCCCAGGGTGAGAATGCTGAAGTTGTTTTTTTTTTAATACAATTAACTTTTCCCTGAATTCCAAACCCCTTACCTACACTTTGTTCTCCTTATAAAAAGGGCCATTTTAAAATGGAACTTAAGATGGTCTGTTAGGGTATGATAAAGAAGTACTCAGCACATGTGCAGACAGCAAAGGCTGATGACGGTGGAAAAATCAAGGTATGTTCCTGGGAGGGAGGGTTCTAGGAACACAGTGAAAATATAAGCAACTGCCAGTCTGGTCGACTTCCTAACAGCTTAAATTTACTGAAGGCCTACTATATGCCAGACACTGTTCTAAGTGTTTTATATGCTTTATTTCTTTGGATTCTGACCACCACCTTTTGAGGTAGACACTATATTTATTCCCATTTACATGAGGCACAGACAGTGCAGGTCACTCGCCTGAAGTTACGGTGAGCGAGTAGGACAACGCAGGCATTCTGACCCCAGGGCTGCACACTTCCGTGCCGCCTCTCACCAGCTGCAATGAATGTAAGACATCTAGGGGCACATGTGAGAACTGGCTGTGGGGCTCACAGCCTGGCACGGGGCTTCTGACACCTCGGGTGCGTCAGAATCTCCCAGGGAGGTGACCTAAGATGCCCGTGCCAGGGTCCCACGCCCAGAGAGCCCGACGCGGGCAGCAGTGGCAGTGGCAGGAGCTGGAGCATGGAGGACAGAAATGTGTGGGGTTTTGTTTTTCTGGGGTTTTTTGACTGACAGATCGTGCCTCAGGTTTATTTGTACAAACAGCACAGGAAGACCCAGCCCACGTAGACAGCAGCCCAGGCACCATACCAGTTCTTCTATCCTCACATCAACAGACAGAGGCCTCTACTCTGGAAGCCGTCATAGGGGCCTGGGCACGTTTGGAAGCCTGAACCTGAGCTGGAGCCACAGTCACAGACACAGCTGCAGCCACAGCCTGGGTCTTGATTTGAGCCTTGGCCTTGGCCTTTGGCCAGCAGAGATGAAGACCTTTGGCAAGGCAGGCATGAACATTTTCCCCAAGCTTGGGATGAGTGATATAAACAACTCAATTGAGTTTGTGGCTGCTGTTCTTTGAGAGCTTAAGCTTGACCTCCTTGGGCTTTATGGGGGCCTTGATAGCCTTGGCACATGCAATCATGGCCTTGGCATTGTTGGGCTGCATCTTCTTCGGGCCCTTCTTGTTATGCTTTTTGGCAAAGCACATGTTCCTCAGGAACCTGAGGTCGACCCCATTAAGAGATTCATATCTTTGTGATCAGGGTTTTTTGATGCCTTTTGTGTCATTTTCAGGACTGGTTGTGAGTGGTGATTTTTGAACCTGGACATGTCTACACCGAAGCCATGGCTCCCAAAGGGCCTCAGAAATTTATATTTTTAACAAGACCCTTAGGGAACCCTCATGCAGTTGGTCTAGAAGTTAGGCGAGAACTCATGGGCAGTACGGGGATACCCAGACGGCCCAGTGGAGACTGTATCTAGGTGATGGGAAGTGGCAATGTCTCCTAGATACAATGGCATTTGACTTGGGGTTTAAGGGTAGATAGGATTTTGTGTGTCCCTCTCTCCTTCCCTATTTGGAGGCTGTACTGGGTTGAACTGTATCCCCACAGAAGATATGTTGAAATCCTGACCTTATTCAGAAAAAGAATCTTTGCAGTTTTAAGTAGGTTAAGGGTCTTGAGATGAAATCATCCCAGATTATCTGGATGGGACCTAAATCCAATGACAAGTGTCCTTAGACAAGGAGAGAGACAGAGAGGAGAGGAGTCCACTTGAAAACAGAGGCAGAAATTGGTGTTATGCAGCCACAAGCCAGGCAGTGCCTGGGCCACCGAGTTCAGGCCAAATGATGGCAGCGCTAGGAAACTAATACAGAGGCTTTTAGCCTAGTCACACCGTTCACCCTGGGAAGGTCTTTGCAATTAAACACTGAGTTGTGGAAGCACAGCCTTCAGACAGTGTAGCTGTGGCCGCCACATCCCCGGCCAGGACCGCAGGCTCTACAGGCAGTGGTGGAGCACAGCTGGTAACGATGCAGTGGGGGCATCTCTGCAAACTCACGACTTCCCCACCTCTCCTTGGATGCAGGCTTGTAAGAAGTCAAAGAAAGGTTCTGTCCTCAGTCTCTGGATTTGCATTTTGCAAAGGAGATGTCAACACCTAGAAAGCATAGTTTCCAGCTGAAAGTCGCCCGCACGTGGGGGGCAGGGCAGGGCCAGACTACGTTCTAAAGCACGCAGCAGTGGAATGCCCAGCCCGTGCCTTTCAGAGTGGTTTTGCCATGAAGCCCTGGTTGTCATAAAGCTGTAATGTCATCGCTGTAACTTCATTCCAAAGGAGTCGATTATTTCTAATGACTACTTGGGGGTTGTCTTTCTTGGCCCTGACCAGTCTGTGGGTAGTAGCTTTTGACCTCTGGCTTAGAGACTCTGATGATTCCCTTACCCAGAGCTGCATCTTCTGCTTTAGGGATGCAAGTTGATCTATCTTCGGAAGCCCATCCCCAAAATGCAGAAGTTGGCCATCTGTAGAACGGACAGCACTGGTTGTGGTCTGTGAAACACCAAATCTTAGAGAAGTACCTCTTTAGAAAAGCTTATTAATACTTCCTTTGTCCATGTGCCACAATGACTTTCTGCAAGGGAGAAGGACAGGCTCCCTCATGTGCCTGCGGAGAGAGCTTCCTCCTCATCTGAAGCTCTCGCTTCCCATTCCTCCTCCTTGGCTAATGCTGGAGCTGAGAGCATAGCTGACAGAGGAATGGACCTTGTCCCCAAGCTGGTGTTCCACATGCTCTAGTTACTAGAGGAACAACTCCATGCCAGTTCCTAGGAGAAAGGGCGGCAGAGTTTCAGCAGGAGAAACAGGAATGTAAATCAAACTGAGAAATATTTATTGGGCACATGCCACTAGAAACGCATTGAAAGGTTAGGTGCTGGAATAGAAGTGGGCAAGGGTTAGGTTGGAGCATTAGTTTTCAACCCAGGCTGCATGTTGAATCACAGGAAAGATCTCAAGAATTCTGTTGCTTTGGCTGTATCCCACACCACTTACATCATCTGGGGGACATTCCGGCATCAGCACTTTTTAAAAGATCCCCAGATGATTCCAATGTGCAGCAAAGTTAGGGAACCCCCAAAACATGATATCCCTACGGACCATACCCAGATATGTTTTCAGTGGTCTGGGTTGGGTCCTAGGTGAGACCTAGGCATTGGCAGTTTTTTAAAAGCTGCTAAGGGGATTCCAGTGTGCAGAGGTGAGTCATGTGAATAATAAAGGGAAAGCAGCATGGGAATTATCAAGGTGCCTGCAGCCAGTGCTCTTTTCTATATGTATGGTCCATATCTCTTGCAAGATGGAATTTTTCTAGAAAGAGAATAAATTTTGGTGGATCTCACAGACAGCTGGACACCAGATACTGCTTAGTGGCCTATCGGGGGGTAGGGAGGGAAGCATTGGAGAGGAAATCCAAAACGTTCTCAGAACCAGGAGTGAAGGCCAACAATGATGTATCCTCTGTTCTAGCAAGCTTTAAGATTTCCAAGTGCTTTTGAAATAATCTCAAGCTCTGTTGAGGACCCGTAGGTGTATAGTCTTCAGGCAAGGCTGTCTCTATGTGTGGAGTATAAAACAGGCACATGTTTAAGGGTAGATGTCATTTGATTCTCTATTCTCCTTTGGAAAACCTCAACTCTGGGGCTACTTCACAAAGTACTAGCAATTTCCTTCTTTCTTTCTTCTCTCCCTCCTTCCTTTCTCAGTACTTTGTCCCTTCTTTGTAGCATCAGTGGGTACAGACACAAGGTGAAGAGTTCCCATCTTACCTACCTGACCCTACTTCCTTCTCCCCTGGCATCCCATTTTGGCAACTCTTTTTTTGTCCCATGGTACCTCCACTTCGACTAGTCCAGTGGATTTTTTTTTTCCATCTAATTTCTGCCTTGGTCCAGTGGAATTGTTTTTTCCATCTGGTCCAGTGGATTTTTGTCTTTCCGTCTAATTTCTGCCTTCAGATTCTGCCTTCCTGGACTCCAGAACCTCCCCTCTCTGCACTGGGCTCTAGGACTGGTGTTCTCCATAAGCAAACAGTGATTATGGGGCAGAGGAGACACTTCCCTTCTCGTCCTGTCCTTTTCAACTTTGTTTTGTCCTCAAAGTATGTAGGTAGCAGTGTCATACAGTTCATGTGACAGTTCTTATGTTTTCTGAAACTTATTCTGTGGGACACATTTTTTTGTATCTTTTGCTTGCATCATCTCTAAATTTCTTCCTAATAAAATTTTTGCCAAATCCAGACTCCTTGGTGCTCTCAGCTCATATACATCACTAGAACTTTGACTCTGGCAATCAGGATTTATAGGCTGCAGTTTACAAGGCAGAATCTCAATAGTTTATCTTGACAATATCGATGGAGGACATCAATTGGAATGAACAGGTACTGGAGTTTGTGTTTCCTACCCAGGAAGATAAAAATTTAGCACGGAGAGAATCCGAGATTAGAGAGGTAGGCAGGAGCCAGAGCACAGTGGCCTTTGGGCTGTGGCAAGGTATTTGGGCTTTATTCCGATTGATCTGATTTACATTTAAAAAAAATTTTAAAGGTTTTATTTATTTATTTTTAGAGAGAGGGTAAGGGAGAGAGAAAGAGAGGGAAAGAAGCATCAGTATGTGGTTGCCTCTTGTGTGCCTGCAACCCTGGCATGTGCCCTGACTGGGAACCAAACCAACGACCATTTGGTTCACAGGCCAGCACTCAATCCACTGAGCCACACCAGCCAGCGCTCATTCACATTTAAAAAAATAAATCAGTCAAGGTATATTGAGGAGCATGATTACAGGTGGGACACAGATGGAAGTATGGAAGTAAAGACAACAGAGGAAAGTTGTCTTGTTTAGGTGAGAGAAGCAAACTTTTTTGTACAGGGTCAGATAATAAAATAAATATTTTAGGTTTGGTGAGCCACATAAACTCTCTACAGCACATTCTTCTTCCCTGTCTCCGACTCTTCCTCCTCCTTTTTAACAACCCTCTAAAAATGTAAAAAATCTTCTTAGCTCTTGGATGATAAAAAAACAAAAACCCAGGAGGTTGCATGGGAGATTTGGCCTGCCTAGGTGGGTGGTAGTTTGCCAACCACTAGCTTAGAGAGAAGTAGAAACTGATTGTCATAAATTTAGGACACAGAACTGGCAGGATTTGCTGAAAGAGGAAACAAGGATGGCCTCAGTGAAGAAGTAGAAGGTGGTGTAATTTACTGAGATGGGGAAGAAGTAGATTTGGGAGTGGGGAGAAGGGGAAATTAAGAGTTAAGTATGAGTTGCCAATTAGTCATCCAAGTGGGGATGTCAGATAGGAAGCCTGATACAGACTCTGGCATTTAGGGGAGAGGTCAGAGCTGGAGATCCACGTTTGGGAGGTTATGGTCCAGGGGTGCATGTACAGTCATGGGACTGGATGAGATCACCTAGAGTGCAGTGCAGAGGTTCCCGGACCAGCACGTTGGCGGCTCTGAATTTAGGAGACCCATAAAAGAGGTCCTTGGAATCACTCTCTGGGTCAAAAAGCATGACATATGAGAAATACTGCCCAATTGCTTTCCAAAAGGGTCTTTTGTATCTTCATAGAACCCATCTTGTTTTAGCTGTTCAAATACACAATGAGTAGGGCCGGACACATGAGTGGGCAGGGGCACTGGAATTAGGAATCCTTGGCTGTTTTTGGAGTACAGCTGGGAGCCTTAAGTCGCACTGGGGAATGAGGCTGGTAAAAGGCACTGAGAGGGCAGAAGCGCTTCCAAGAATTCCCAACTACAGAATCTTACTACAAGCAGATTTTTTTTTAATAGCCATCTTTTTTCTTCTTCTTTTTTTAAGATTTTATTTATTTATCTTTAGAGGGGAAGGGAAGGAGAGAGGGAGAGAAAAATCAATGCATGGTTGCCTCTCGTGTGTCCTCTGCTAGAAACTGGCCTGCAACCCAGGCATGTGCCCTGACTGGGAATCGAACCATAATCCTCTGGTTCGCAGGCCTGTACTCAATCCACTGAGCTATACCAGCCAGGGCCCGAGCAGATTTTTAATGAGAGCTTCAGATTCACTATCTGGGGGGAGGTGTGTTTTCAACATACTCTCTCTCATACAAACAGAAGGTTGAGAAATCTAGGGGTTAGGGACAGACTGGGCAGGGGGTGTGTCCTTGTGACATATCTTTACCTCCAGAGGCTCATGGGGCTTCAGGAATCTTAGGTGGGTCTGGTTGGAGAAGGTTCAGGATGAGGGCATGGCAGAGGACTCTTAGGCCGGGAAGAAACATTTTCTTTAGCTTTGGGACACTTCCCATTTGCTAATTCAAAATGAGGCCTCTTCCCCTCACAGATGTAAAATGCAGTCTCTTTTCTCATGCAGTTGCAATGGAAAAGGCTGGGTTCCCAAGGCTTATCTACTCTGTCCCATAGTTCCATAGCAAGAGGGGAGGTTTTTTCCTGTCTTTATATGGAAACGAGAACACATTTTTTCAACTCAAATACAAGATATGCATGTTGTTGATGAAACTGAAACCACACCTACACTTTAAATGTTATGGATTTGTGTGAAAACATATAAGGAATAATGTAAGGAATTTGCTGTTAGGCCTTCTGCTAGGCCTTCCTTGAACCACTATTTATTTTTCTTTCTAAGTGCCAGGCACTCTTTTAGATTCAGAAGATGACGCAGTGAACAAAATAGATAAAAATCCCTGCCCCTCAAAAACAGATAACCCAGCCAGGTTAGATAGTAGTAAGTGCTAAGGATGAAAATATAAAAGAAGGAAGAGGGACAAGAAAGTGTTACATGACTGAGAATACAGGACAAGAAAGGATTTGAGAGCTGTGATTTAGGAAAGTAACAATTTCTCTAAGTCTCAATATTTTCATCTGTAAAATAAATAACAGTGCCTTCCTGAAGAAGGCTCAGGCCCTTAGACTGACTTTGTCACTTAATCTATGGGACTTTGGGCCTCTCAGAATTTCTTTGGACTCACAGAACTTATCTGTGACATGAACAGACTTGCCCAGCCTATGTCACATGGTTTTTGAAAATGTGAAATGAGATATGTGCAACTAGTTAAAAACATAGATTACCTAAATGTAAGATAGGAATTTGAAGGAAAAAAAACACACAACTAGGTTATGGACTGCAAATCTCTTGCAATCTCCTGAGGTCAGCAGAGCCTCAGGATTGATAATACACACAGCTGCTTGGTACTGACTCCCTACCCTACAGGGAAAAGGCCAATAAAAATGGTCAGGATGTACCTAGCAATCTTATCTTAGATCAGAGATAAAACAATCAAACTAAATGTTCCTAAGTGGACACTTAATAAAAGTTATAACATGATATTGGTCAAAATTTTAAATGCTTTGTTTGCATGTTAAATGCTTTGCAGCTCCTTTGTTTGTTCTTGTTTTGTTTGCAGGACTTCAGATCCGGGGACAAAAACTAAATGGCCTGAAAGGAGTTATAAATATAGAACATTCACGTAATTACCAAGGCAGGTAGTCTATCCTCTGGGTATTTCTGTAGATGTTCAATAAACATCACCAAGTAGATGCTTCCAAACACAGGCTATTATGTACTTCTTTTTCATCTTCATGTTTTCTTTGGCCCTGAATATTTGATAGCATCCCAGCAGTGGTCTGTTGAATCAATAACATATTGTTATACACGCATGGTATAGCGTCTGGCACTAACTAGGTACTGAATAAATATTTGTTAAGCTAAAGTTTGATTACTGTGTACGTTTGCTTACTAAAGACAAGCAAATTTGATCCCTAAAATGTTTGTGCCTTTAAAACACAAATATTTGCCTTCCCTTGACAACGTTCATATGGTAAACCAAATTCGCTCCATCCCTGAGACTAGATTAAAACACGGTGTTTTATTCAACTGAAATTCAAAATCCAAAGTCAGTTTGAACATCATCTAGCATACTAAAGGCGCTCGATGTTTGCTAAATAAAATGGATATTCAGAGAGGCGTTACTCCAGCCCACATATGCCGGTTAGGAGCATGGCTCGGCAGCCTGTCCACTTCGCACTCACCAGGGGACCTCTCTACACCTTCTCTGAGGTACTGGCGCCCGCTCGCCTCATAGCCACAGAATCTCTCCGCTCGGCCTGCCGAAGTTTCTCTCTCAAGCGGTCAGTGTCCCAACTGTCACACAGGGCGGCAAGGCACACGGAGTACGCACGCTCCGCCCCGCCCAGCGCGCTTCTTTCAAGGCTGCCCCGCTGGTCCAGCAAAGGGCCTTGTGGCCGTTTCCTATTGGGCCTTGGTTGCTATGGTATCAGCAGCTTAAAATTTGCTGGCACTGCTTCCGTAAGTTTAAGGAGAATTACTTCCAGGTCTGCCCTTGCTTGCTATGACTGACTGAACAATCACCGAACTCAATAAAAATAACATACATACCAGGGAATTTTAGAAAAATCTTACGTAAACACTCTAACTTGTGGGTGTGATGTGGTATCACAGTCTTTCTTCCCGTTCAAAAGATTTACTATATATTCTTCCTTTATTTGCCAGTCTCCAAAATGGCGCCGGCAGCGTTTGTGGGTCAGGGGTGAGTCACGTGGGCCGCCCCGGTTCCGGCGCGGTGGAGGCCAGGGTGGTGAGCAATCTTCGGCACCATGTCTGGTTTGTCTGGCCTGTCTGGCCCACAAGCCCAGCGTAGGCCTTGTCCGATAGCGTTGCTGCTGTTTCTCCTGTTTGTCCCCAGATCGGTTTTCGCCATTTCCTTCCACCTGCCTGTGAACTCTCGCAAGTGCCTCCGCGAGGAGATCCATAAGGACCTACTGGTGACCGGCGCCTACGAAATCAACGACCAATCTGGGGGCGTTGGCGGCCTGCGCACCCACCTCAAGGTGCGGCACTGGGCGGGGCAGGAAGACCTTAGGCCAGGGGAGGCCGAGGATTAGGCGGGGAGGGGGTGTCAGGCATGGGGAGGCCTAGAGGGCGGCCTGGCCTCCCCCAAGCGCTATGGGCGCGCGGTGGAAACCGCCCCCTCGCCGTGCTGGTTGGCGGTCGCGGGGCGGGGCTGGGCGCCAATTCCGGGGAACCGAAGAAGGGACGCGGGGCCTTAGCGGATGTGGTGACAGCTGAGCTGGGGCGACCCTGTATTTGTTCTGGTCTTAGGTACTTTGAACTGTAACTTGGTTCTTCTAAGAAGTCTTCGGACGGCGAATATTTGTTGCAGTTGGCATCATAGGACACATTGAAACCTGCAGGGAGATAATTAATGGAGGCGTTGAAGCTTAACAGTGAAGAATGAAACCTGTCATTTACTGACCACCAGCTGTTTGTCAGATCAGATCTTGTGCTGCTTTACATACATTCATTCCCATTTAGTTCGTATACTCCTCTATGAAGTAGGTACTTACTAGCTTCATTTTACACATAAGGAAATTGAGACTCAGAGAGGTAGTAGAATAAACTGATGCCAGAGCTGGAATTGATTCTTAGTTTGGGAGTTAAGTAAGGTGAAAGAAAAGTGCTGGAATTTTGTTCTCTCCTTACTTTTTATTTGTAATTCTTGTTGTTGACTAAAGTTGATTATTGGTGACAGATGGTCTCAGTCTCTAGACCTTTCCTTCCTGGTACCCCAGAGTCTGGACTTGGCCAAGTTTTAAGTAAATTTCAGCGGTGCTCTAATGGTGAAAACTACCACCATAATGCCAGTTTGGTCCCATTTTGCCATTTGGGTGACCAGATTGTGCTTTGAAAGTTAATATAATTTGGTATCAGTCAAGATCGATTGTTTTCTAGGTAATTGTATTCATTCACAGTAAGCACGTGGTTTTGGTTTTGTTTTTAACAGAATGTGTCTTAGACTAAATAGAAATATTTTTACTTTTTAAATAGCACTTAGGTATACGAGCACCGCAGTTTCTGTTTAAGGTATTGGAAGTCAATAGTGGTAATAGAGAGAAATTTTTCAGGACTGTTGCTCAAGTGACTTATCCTTTTATTAGTCTCTTCAGATAACAAACTGATGTCTGACCAAGAAAACCATGGTGGCCTAGTATTAGAGGCTTGAATACAACGTTTTGGGGGTTATGCTTCTGGCTTTTCAAAGGATGTAGTGCACAGAATCAGAATTTGAACAGTGAAAGAAACTTTGCTGTCCCCTTCAGTGTCACCTCCTCTGATTTGTACTTAACATACATTTCAAAAGCTTTCAGCAGCTCACAGTTGCTCATCTGATAAACTTTAAGATTTTATTTGTTTTTAGAGAGAGGGAGAGAAACATCTATGTACAAGATACATAGATCAGTTAGTCTCCTCTCTGAGGACCTGGCCTGTCACCCAGGCATGTGCCCTGACTGAGAATGGAACAGGTGACCCATTGGTTCACAGGCCAGCGCTTAATGCACTGAACCACACCAGCCAGGGCTCATCTGTTAAAGTTGGAATTTCCCAACATTCCCTGTAATATACTTCATGATCCATTCCTGAGGTTTACACAATACTTTGTCACTCTCCACTCTTCATTTTACATATGAGCCACCCCGAACAGTACCCTAACCTAACTTATTTTCATCTTAAAACCACTTATGTTTATACCTTGTCTTCCTTACCTTATTAGACCTTTAGTATCCTGTGGGCAGGAATTATTTTCATGTTTGTATTTTCCAGAATGTCAAGCATACTGCCTTGTTAGTAGTAAGCACTTATAAATATAGGAAGCATAGTGTGGCATGGCCTTATGGGAATTATGTCTGTATCCAAAACTGCTGAAGGAACTTAACCGCAGGAGTCTGTATATGTACATGATAGCATTTTGCTGTTACTCAGTTGCTCTTCCCTGTCTGCTCTGTTCTGTTGCTACTAACCAGCTTAATCGCACTACCCCTGTGTCTTACCTGCTTGACCCAGTTGTCAAGCAGGTAAAATTAAATGCATGAACTGAGCCAGGTGTAAGAAAAACAGCAGCAGTGGTGATAAATGGGAGGTAATTGAAAGTATTGGAATGGCCAGTATGCATCACTTGATATGGGCCTTGGTGCCACATATGATTTTTCAGATGAAGGCAGAAATGCAGATTTTTATGTGAAAGCTTCTGGTGACATTTTTTGAATGTCACCAACTAATTCAAATTGGTTTAGGCATTTGTTTTCAGGTTTGTGGAGAAGAGCAAAAGTCAGTTGACTGTATGCTCAATACCCAGATTCAACATACTGCATATAGTCTTGCCACACTTGTTTTATCTTAACTGCTTCCCCTTTCTTATTTTATACTGAATTGTTTTAAAATAAATCCCAGATAACACAGTGTTTTAGTCCTGCATACTTTTACATGAATCTCTTAAAAACATGAACATATGCCCTGGCTGGTGTAGCTCAGTGGATTGAGCATGGGCCTGCGAACCTAAGGGTTGCTGATGTGATTCCCAGTCAGGGCACAGGCCTGGGTTGTGGGCTGGGTCCCCAGTGTGGGGTGCTCAAGAGGCAACCACACATTGATGTTTCTGTCTCTTTCTCTTTCCCTCTCTCTAAAAATAAATATAATCTTAAAACATGAACATAATCACAATGTTAGGCAGCTATGATCATACCTCATATGATTTTGACAATTTTTTTAAAAAAAGATTTTATTTATTTATCTTTAGAGGGGAAGGAGAGAAAGAGAGAAACATCAATGTATGGTTGCCTTTCATGCATCCCCTGCTGGGAACTGGCCTGCAGGGAACCAGCCTGCAACCCAGGCATATGCCCTGACTGGGAATTGAGCTGTGATTCTCTGGTTTGCAGACCTGTGCTTTAATCCACTGAGCTATACCAGCCAGGGCCAATTTTGACAATTTTTAATGCCATTTAGTAATACCCAGAATATATTCAGATTTCTCCACTTGTCTTAAGAATATCCCTTTAAAATTAATTTGTCAGCTCTCAAATCTCTAATCTAGAGCCATCCACTGGCCCTCCCTTTATTTTATGCTTGCAGTTACATTGTTGGAGTTAGTTGTCTTTGAAGAATGTCCTATGTTTTGGATTTGTCTGTCTGCTTCCTTGAGGTGTCATTTAACCAGACCTGTCCCCCACATTTCTTACAGAAGGAATTGGATGTAAAGATGTAATTAAACACAAGTGTATCTTTTTGGTGCGGGTTCCTCACGGGTGCTGTCATGTACTTGACATGGCATCACAGCTGAGCACACAGCTCTGTTTGTGCCCCATGGTGCTGCTGAGATTGATCAGTGGGCTCGGGTGTGTGTGTACTAGTGTCTTACTGCTGCAGTAACAAATTCCATGAACTTAGAGCCTTAATACATTTATCTCACAGTTTTAGAGGTCATAGTCCTAAAATCAAGGTGTCACCAGGGCTGTGTTCCTTCTTATTTTATGAGAAGGCTCTAGGAAAGAATTCATTTCTTGCCCTTTTCAGCTTCTGGAGATTACCTGCATTCTCGGGCTGGTGACTCCTTCCTTCTTCCATATCCAAAGCCAGTAGCATATTATCTGCAACTCTCCCCCTTTTGCTTCCATCGTCTCATCTCGGACTCTGCTGCTTTCCTCCTTTCCTTATGAGTGTCCTTGTGATAGCCTCTTTATCTCAAAACCCTTACTTTAACCACCTCTCCAAAACTTATTTTGCCATGTAAGATAACATTCACAGGCTCTAGGAATAAGGATGTGGGCATTTTGGATGGTGTGTGGCGAGCAGGGGGTACCATTGTGTCTACCGAGGTGACAGCATCCTGAAGCCTCCTCTTCAAAGCTGCCATTGTTTTCTTATTAATGCATTGATGACCGATGTGTGAATTTATTGTTTCATTAAGCTTATGAAATGATTTTCTAATTCTGTTACTCCTATATTTATTAACTGGAATTAATCTTTTGAAAAAATTTATTTTTTTAGAGAGAGGGAAAAGGAGGGAGAAAGAGAAGGAGAAAAACATTGATGTGCATGAGCTACATCAATTGGTTGCCTGTCACATGTCCCTATCTGGGGACCTGGCCCACAACCCAGGCATGTGCCCTGACTAGGAACCAAACCAGTGACCTTGTGGTTCACAGGTCAGCACTCAGTCCACTGAGCCACACCAGCCAGGGCTAACCAGAATTACTCTTAAAGAATATACATCTCAATTAAGACCATTTCATTACCCTAAATTTATAATTCATACCGGAAAGGAAAGAAAAATGCAGAATTCATTTCTTTAAATTGACATTTTTCAGAGTAAAGAATTGTTGCCCTTGTCATTTCCAGTGTTGCCCAGAGGGTTAACTATTTTTCTGAAACCATTTTTTTGTCATTGTTTGTTTCAGTTGATAGTCATTGTTTCAGTCAGTTGCATTCATTTCTTATGCTTTCACGTCTCTGGCTCCCATATTCTTTGACACAGGCCTGTTAGGCTTTGATAGTTTCCCTGTTTTGTGAAACAGTAAGGTGACCCAAGTTCATCTGTTATATGTCCAACTCCTAATCTGGAAGCAGCTATTCCTCTGAGGAGTTCTGGTTCCTTTTTGTGAGGAGTGGTATTTCAGAGACCACAAGCTGGGTGTCATTTCAAAAATTGTAATATACTGTGCAGGCCACAGGATACATTTGTGGGCTTGATCCAGTCCGTAGCATGATTTGCAACATTTTTCATAGTACCCGTTCACTCAGTTCTGCTTTCTCTTAAGTGTTGACCACTTGTGGTCCAGGCTCTGCCTCAAGGATTCTCCCTGTGCATCATTTCAGCTTCTGAAGTGTAACTCCTGAGCACAAGACTCGGATTGGTTCAGTTCCTCTTCTGCCAGGCCACATTCTGGGTCTCTTTGGTCATAGGTCCACTTCTCACTCAAGCAGCCATAGTTGGGGTGAGTATAGAACTGGAGACTTAGTATAGTGCAAAACCTGGCCAAGTGGGTTTGGCACT